TCATGATAAATTAGTGGTTTAACTTTAAGCAAACTCATCCTGGTTGACACATAACAGAATCAAAACTACAAAGAATATTGAGACCCTTAGGTTTTATTTCTTAGATTGTCTCAATATGTTATATGTATTTTTTTCTGTGTTCTTAAAATTTCTAAAAGTTAGATAATGCTCCAGAGTTATTAGATCTATTTTCTCAAAAGGAAAAAGGTGTGTGTGTGTGTGTGTGTGTGTGTGTGTGTGTGTGTGTGTGTGTGTGTGTGTGTATGGTGTGATTGAAAAATACGGTGAATGTTTAAATTTAAAAATTATTACAGTAAAAGACACATTGTCGTTAATCTTCCTCAAAATACTCCTCCTTGCTTCAAACACACTTATCCCATTGTTCTTGCCACTTTCTGAAGCAGTTCTGGAAGTCCTCTTTTGTGAATGTCTTTACTTCATCCTCCAACATGACAATAAATATTACGGTTTGTCCTCATTCACCTTATTCACTAGATCTGGCAAAGTGAAACTTCTGGCTTTCCCCCCAAAGCCGAAATGACTATGACAGGAAAATGTTTTGAATCGATTCAGGACATCGAGGCAGCCACGACAGTGCAACAAAGAAATTCACCAAAGAGGACTTCCAGAACTGCTTCAGAAAGTGGCAAGAACGATGGGATAAACGTGTTCAAAACGAGGGGGAGTATTTTGAGGGGGGTTAATGGCAATGTGTCTTTTACTGTAATAAACTCATTTTATTTAAATATTTACCATATGTTTTGATCACACCTCATATATATCATGGAAATGTAATCAATTGTTTAATCATTATTTCTGAAATCATACTCATGACTCAAATATGTTTTAAGATCCAGTTCATTAACAAATTGTAAAGAAACCTATAGAATTGTCCAGTCAATGACATACTATACATATTTTTCTCCCTGGCTATATTATATTGTGCTCTTTTAGATAGTATTTTTCAAACTTATTTTCTTCAATCAAGAACCATAGTTAAAATAAAAAGAAAATGAAAAAGAAATTATGTCCTAATGCACATACATCTCTGGAAATAAACCATGAAACATGATGTGTACCTATCAAAACATCTTCTATTATATTTAATATTTTAAAAATTCTGGTCATGACACAGAAATTGATTTGAGTGCCCCAATTTTCCAATTATGACCTACAGTTCAAAAATCCTTAAGAAAAGGTGTAGTTTGTTCTCCTATTTTGGTTTTACTGGTAGGAGATATAGCTATATATGTATGTATCTATAGCTATGGCAATCTGAAAAGAATAAATACACTGAGTTATTAGCATTGTTCTCTTTATATAACAGTCCTTTACAAGCAGTTTCCAATTAGCTTCAGAAGTATCCCAAGTTATTTAAGGGAGTTTTGGGGGGTATGGAAACACCAAGTAAATATTGTATTTCATCGTTAATTTTTAAATAAACTGGTAAGATAACAAATTTCACCTATAATTAAATTACTTGTAAATGTTAATAATACTCTAATAGAAACTAAACATCTGGTTTCTGTGGCATGTAAATGAACACAAAGATCATTCTTTAAATAAACAAACAATGTCTATTAAATTTATTGGGGTAAAATTGATTAGTAAAATTATATAGGTTTCAAGGATACATTTCTATAATAAGGTACCTATATATTGCATTGTGTGTTCACCATCCAGAGACAGTTCCCCTTTCATCACCATATATTTGACAAACATTTTCTAATTTGAGCATCAACACTAATGGTTAATGTCTGCTACAATTTTCTTTTCACTTCATTGAACAGAGTATGCCCCAATAAATGAGTAGTATTACAAAAAATATAAATGAATATTAGTTTTAAGTAGCTTGTAACTAAGTACAGACAAAAAAGTAGTTTATCTTCTTGATTAGAATTCAAAGATAGAAAAGGCAGATTGAAAAACTTAGCTCAATTTCTTTCAATATGCATGAGAGCAAGAGTGAGATGATAAAAAAATCTCTATTGAAAAATACTAAGAAACTGCGCTTCTTTGAAACAAAAGATTTGGTGAAAATAAAACTTGAAAAGAAATAAAGATGACTATCAAAGAAATAAAAGCCAAAAAAAAAAAGGAGGGAACTGTATTGGGAACTACTATTGGATACACTGGTACTGTGAAGGATTCCTTTGTTCTTTTTTTTTTTTTTTTACATATAAAGCAATTGGATAGTCATTTGTTTGAGAAAGAGAAAACCCTGACTATCATATTCATGAAGGCTTTTTTCACTTGTTGGTTCCGTAAAGTATAGATGAAAGGGTTCAAAAGTGGTGCCACTGAGGTATTGAGCACTGCAATTCCCTTGGAAAAAGATATTCTTTGTTTGACAGATGGATTAACATACATGAAGATGCAGCTGCCATAAGAAAGAAATATCACAACCATGTGAGAAGAACATGTTGAAAAAGCTTTTTTCCTCTGATTAGTTGACGGCATTTTTAGAATCGTTAATGCAATATAGCTATATGATATTATCACCATTACCAATGTGACCACAAGTGTCAGCGAAGCAGAAATCAGTTTCATCACTTCGATGAGTTCTGTGTCTGAGCAGGCAATCAGCAGGAGTGGGGTAGGGTCACAGCCGAAATGATCAATAACATTGGATGCACAGAAGTCAATGTTTAGGCCTACGAGGAGTGGCGGAAAAATGACCAAAAAACCAGCAAGCCAACAACTAAGGATGAGCTGTATGCACATTTTACTGTCTATGATGGTTGTGTAACGCAGAGGCTTACAGATGGCAACATAGCGGTCATAGGACATAGCCGCTAGCAAATAAAATTCAGATGCTCCAAGGAGGAAGGCAAAAAACAATTGAGTCATACAACTGTTATAGGAAATGGTTTTGTCCCCAGTTGCCATAATAACTAGCAATTTAGGAATGCATGTAGTAGTATAGGAAATTTCTAGGAAGGAAAAATTCCGAAGGAAAAAATACATGGGGGTCTTGAGGTGAATATCCACCAGGGTGAGTGTGATGATGATCAGATTGCCAGTGATGCTTAGCAAGTAGGTGAGAAACAGGAAGATAAACAACACAACTTTCAATTGTGGGTCATCAGTCAAGCCTGCTAGGATAAATACTGTCACTCTTGTATGGTTTCCCATTGTTGTCTTCTAGTTTTCTAGGTCTAAATAAAAAAATAAAGGGGAGAGAAAAAAAAAGAAAATGATGATCTCAATGGAAAAATAACTGTGATAATTAGTGTTTAAGGTACAGTTAGCAAAGCGATGTTTCAGATAGAGTAACAAAAATGCACATCCATTCATGTTTTTTGCCATGGTTTTGCCAGGAAGAATAATAGTGTGCATTTCCAGAGTATGTGGACAGATAATTAAAACTCTAGTTTGCAATTCTACTATAAAATAACCTATACAGTAGTAGTAATTGTTGATTATTTTTATGTGACTATATTAGAGGGCCTTTTAAAGCATAGAAAAAATGCTTCTTCTCTATTGATAATGTGCAAGAGTTGCGATGGATGCCTTTCTAGAGAAGTTTGCACGTTAGAACCCAAATGATAATTGTCATTAAAAGTACATCAGCCCATGTTTGCATTAAACACACACACACACAGACACACACACACACACACACACACACACACACACACACCCCACACACAACACCCCTAGCTATCATCAATATACAGGGCTAGTACACCTGTACCATTTTACTTAACCAATCAAATTCAAATGTCTGATTCTTGTGTCATTTACTTTCATGACTAATGTGATCCAATTTTAGACAAGTGAATACGAAGCATTGGGAATATATTTATTTGTTGTCCTTATTAGTATTTCCAGTGCCACAATCTGTTATCATTCCCACCCTTCCCACTTTGTGCCCAAAACAAAATCAGCAGGAACTGTCTGGTAATCTCAGTGTGTGTAACAAGAAATTGCAGTTTTCTTATGCATGATATAATTCTGAGAATATACAGGGAAATAAGTAAAAATGAAAATGAAGGATGTAGAAGCATATGGAAATATTGGGCTGTCGGAAAAGTCATGACGCATTTTTGCAACAAAAAACATAGAAAAAATACATCATGACTTTTCCAACAACCCAATATATTGATAAGTGTTAAGGAAATTATATGAGGTGGGAGGAGTAAAGAGAACAGAAATATAAAGACAAAGCTTTATGGAAACCTAGAAAGGTAAGAAGGGTTATTTTCGAGGTAGGATAGTGAATTTCAGGAAAAATTTTATTAAAAGATTAGAATATGTAAATCATTAAGTAAAAATTTTTAAAATTAAAAATATGTAAATTAGTAAGTAAAAATATGTACCTTAGTAGGTAAAAATTAGAAAATAAAAATTATAAGGAAAAATGTTTACTAATGAAATTTCTATTTGCTTCTATTCTTTACACTTACCATTTTATTCTTTGTCTAAAATACAGAGTGAAAAGGTAAAGAAGTTTTAGATCAGCATGGCCTAAAAAAGATGAAGAGTGAGTATTTGGGAAATTTCAAATACAAAATGAATCTCAAAATTGAGGTGACACAAATTTTAGAAAGCACATATTTTCCTATCATAAAAATATTAAAATATTCGGCTAATACATAATGAAAGAAATATTACCTATAGAATACTATTCTCAACACCGGGCATACACTGAGGCAGTCATATCATTCAGGTTTGCAAAGCAAGTAAGTTAGAAATCACGTTTAAGTTTGAAAGAGTGTGTTTTCCAATGCTGTCCACTTAAAAGTACAACATTTTGTGCATATAATTATAAAACAGATTATAGTGTATTTTTTTTAAATAACATCTCTAAGATTAATTTTCTTCCTTGTTATCTTCATCATTAAATACATAAAGTGATTAAAGTTTTGTGATCGGCTCCACATAAGACAATGTCTTAAGAATATCAAGATAATTATTTGCAACCTGTAAAACATACATTATGATTAAAAAGGCATATCCAGAAATAAAAATAAACATATAAGCACAAGTAAAAGTTATTTTCAGTAATATCTAGAGGTGTTTACAGGAGGATTCTAAGATAAAAAATGAGATCTGCTATCAAAATGATATTTTAATATAGATATATGTGGATGAAAAGAAATGACTGTTACTTTTCATGGACATTCCTTTTACATTCACATAATTGTGAAGCAATCTATTATAAAGTTTTCTGTTTAAAAATTTACACAAATTACTCCAATGGCAACAATTTGGAAATACATATATATCAAAAACACCTAAATCAGAATTTTACCTGTCACCTCATTTCGTTGTCCAACTTTTCAATAGTTAATCACACCAACTATCCCCAGTACACATTATAAACAAATTAACAAAATTTAGATTACAAAATTCTTAGAAATCAAGCCTATGAATGCAATTATATTTAGTTATGTTAGATATTGTCAATATCACATACATTTTAAAAAGCAAAAGTTCTCCAGTATTAACTTTTCATTGTGTTCTATTTGTCTTCTTTCACCATTTTCCCTAAATCAAAATTTAAAAGTTTAGAAAAAATAAGGTTAATACTTTAATGGTAAAAATAGAACAAAAGCGGGCTAAAACATATCTAACAGGAAACATGGTCTTTGAATTTTAGACATACCAATTCTTTACATCTTTTTGAGTCCCCAATAAGTCTGCCAAAAACTCAAACACCTTGTAATAAGAAGACATATACATAGATTTATTCAGACAAAATCATCTCTGCTTTAATATTTAACTCTTATCATCATGCTGAACAGAACACAGTGATTCCATTCCTCTCTGAATGGATCTAACTACCCCAAAATATAGTAGTTTTTTTATCTATAAATGACAGCTTTGTAAATGTTTTTAGTTATTTTTTGCAGATTTTCAGCTTAGCATATTAAATTTCTTCATTACTACAATTTATCTATTTATATTTTGAAAACTTTTCAAAGTATTACCCACAATGCCATATAAAATTAATCAACACTTGATCCCATGGCGTATGTATGCTTTCTGTATCCTGAAGGAAAACATCTAAAGATTATGAAGAATTCTCAGGAGAATATGAGATTTAAGAACACCATTCCCGAAGGATCACAAATTTACCTGTTACACAAGAGTTCTCTCCAGACATTAAATATTTGAAAAAATAAAAATGTGTGTATATATATATATATATATATATATATATATTTAAATTACTTTTAACTATGTCTCCAGAGAATTTAGTATAGATTTCCATCGTATTTTGTGCTCTCCCACACTTTCATATTTTGAAATCCCAGATATATAGATAGGGATTTGGAAGCAGGATAAAATATGATTTTAATCAGTAATAAAAAGTGACAATATAAGATGAAGAACTTAGCCTGTCATGGGCTAATTGTACCTCAGGTTAAATGTGCCATTATCAATTCTCTAGACACACCTAACATTTTATGTCCTATGTGTCATTTTATTTCTGTTCTGAAAGCTGTCTTTCCTCCAAATAGTTTTTGTGATATTGTCTAATGGATCCTACACTGATATTTCATAATTACTAAGCAGTCTCTACTTCTACATTAGTGGAATATTTATCTATGTTATCTATGTTAAAAGTTGCTAGGCTTCCTTGCAACTTTGTCCAAATAACTAAAATCTATTCAAAGAATGTAAATGGAGGTAATTTGTGCCATTTCCTGGGATTATCCCTTGATAAAAGGGGTTTGCCCTCCTCTTCCTCTTTACCCTCTCTCACTGTTATAATGCAGGTAGAATGTCAAGTCATGTGGAGCCATGAGTATGAGCAACTGCATCAGAAACAGTGAATCCACAACATAGAAGACACCAGGTCCTGACACTGCTGCAGGCCATACTAGCATAAAACACAATGACTTTATGGAAGCGTTTCAACATACCAGCCTGAACATTTAAATGTATTAGAGTGACACTGGTTAGTGAAATTATACAGGTTTCAAGTGCACATTTCAATAATACATCATCTATATATTGCATTGTGTGTTCACCACCCAGAAAAGGGGATCAAAAATATGGTGATGGATGGTCCAGCCGAGTGGCTCCGTTGGTTAAGAGCGCGAACTCTGAGCAACAGGGTCGCTGGTTCGATTCCTCATCATGTGAGAACCCGGTGGGGTTCTTTTAGGTAAAGTGCCCAAGCTGAGCTGCAGCTGAGCACTATAGTGAGAGCGTGTGCTCTTAGCAGCAAGGTTGCTGGTTTGACACCTGTATGGGATGGTGGGCGGCCCCACAACTAAGATTGAACATGGCACCTTGAGCTGGGCAGCTGCGAGCTGCTGACCGACGGCCGGATGGCTCAGTGTGCAACAAGGTTGCTGGCTGGACTCCCACATGGGATGGTGGACTACGCACCCCTCCTCTCCTCCTCCCACAACTAGATTGAAAGTGGCGACTGGACTTAGAGCTGAACTTACGCCCTCCACAACTAAGACTGAAGGACAACAACTTGACTAGGAGCTGATGGGTCCTGGAAAAACACAATGTTCCCCTTCCTCAATTTCCCAACACTGTTCCACTCCCCAATTCCCCAGTAAAAAAAAAAAACAAACAAAAAACTCTTTAAAAAAATATGGTGATGGAAGGAGAACTGACTCTGCATCTAGTTTTGATGACTGCTTTCTCTCTCCAGCCTGCTTTTCCTTGCTTGTGCCATCCTTGTACTTTTTATTGAAAGCTGGATGTATTGTGTCACATGATAGGAATGTAGGTAAATAGGTCTTTAGTGAGAGGGTTTATGTGAATTTCTCTAGGATTTGGGCTGTGTTTAATGTTTTCTGAAGCTACAGGTGCCAGAGGTTTGTGTTTCCTCTAGTGTCCTCATTTTTTTTCCCTCTTGACTTGGTGTTTTTGTAATAATGTCTCCTCTGGAGAGACCATGTGTCTTACAGCTCTTTCCATTGTAATTCACTATTATTATACTAGATCCTTGTTGGTGTGGTGGTAATGTGTCATGGAGTCGGAACATTCTATAATCTTCCAATTAAATCTCAGGCTTTTAGTGAGCCTTGTTCCTGGGCTCTACTCTTCACAAGCGTTTCTCCACTGGTATATCTTTTTTCTCATTGGCCCCCGCTCCCTACCCTGGCTGCAGCGTTCTCAATCTATTTCCCTAAAGGCATGATACCTATTGACTATTTCCCCGTCCTTCTGGTGAGACAGGAACACCGACAGGGTGTAGAGTGGGAGGATGTGCTTCATCCACATGATTTAGGAACTGGCAGATTCTTTTCCCCTGGAGAGCTGGTCTTCGCTCCCGAGAAGGCTCCAGATGTATGTCACGGTGATTACTCGTCCCTCCGTGAGACACTTGGTTATTTTTCAAATATTCATCATGTGAGAGCCTGGTGGGGTTCTTGGAGATAAAGCCCTTTTATAGTGTGGGGGCTCTCTTAAGATTAGGACCCCCAAGTTTCTCATTCCCATTCCTATCCAACTCAGGCTCCAGCAACTCATTAAAATTAGCATTAAAATGTTGCTACAACTTTATTGCTGCAGGGGCTTCTGCTGCAAGTAAGCAGATCTGTCCTGTGACTCCCTATTTCCAGATAACAGAGTGACAGTTTCTCCCTGCATCCTCAGTCCTCTAATGGGTCTGAGGAAATTCATTAGTTTTCAGTTGTCCAGATTTTTCTTGTCATAAGGATGGATGGGACAACTTTCAAGCAATTTACATGTTAGAGTTGAAACTGTATTCACTGGCATATTTCCTTTACATTTCAGGCAGCCATATGTCTGTTTATGGGTCTTTAAAAAAAACTTCCACCCAATACTGCATTATACCCAAAGCCAGGTTTAGGGGGTCGTTGGCTCCTCTTCCTCCACCTAGAGACGTTGGCAACAACCAAAAGCAGTGTTCAGGTGGCTATTTTCAATCCTACCTCCTGGCCTTCAGGCTCATTAATTGGTGTGACAGTGGGGGTCCCTTACCCCTCCTAACACACCACCTGGTCAAAAGCATCCACAACTGGATACGAACAGGGAAATACTGCCTTTGGGCCTAAATTTCTTGGGGAGATTTGCACACTGTAGTAAATAAGGTATTCCTTGGAATTAAAAAAAAAATTGTAATGACTTCATACGATAAATAGTTGTTTAATTTTAGTACTGTGTTGTATTAACTTAAGACATATTGAAAATGAAGAATAAAGGAGATATTTTGATAGTCTAAATTGCTGATCTGAGATAGAAATAACTAATCACAAAATATCCACAAATGTTAAAACTTATTTTAAGAATTACATATTTCGGTGTGGTTCCTGAGAAGGAAAAAAAAAAAGTCTGAGGCTTGGTCCTGTAACAGGAATATAAGGAATTTGAACATCAACAAACAAAATCCTTTGCCTAAATAATTCTGTTTATATATCTTTTAAAGGTAAAGTTTTACAAATTTTAGTGTATTTTGCAGTCTGATTTATAAATACACATATTATTTAAAATAAATCTCTGAAAGTATAAGAGTACTTATACTAAGGGATTTAAATTTCATTACTCTGATTTGATTTTAATATGGAAGATCTGAAATTAATTGATTTATTAAATGTCACCATTTTTTAATAAGAATTTGTTCATGATTTTGAGGGAAGATTTTCTTTAAGTTTTTAATGTAAATACAAATAAAAGTAATAGGTTTGCTATACATATTGTAACATACTGCTCCAGTATATATAAAGGGAGTTGGGGAGGAGGGGTAAAGTTAGGTATGATGTAATAAAATTCTGACTTATGGGGATGACAGGTCTGTTTCTGATCAAAGTGACTATGGCCACTATAATGCAATCAGTTACCTCAGAAATTGCCTCTAAAGATTGGAAAAATGTGTTTAAATATTAAGAAAATGTTATAATACTTTGGAAATAATAGCCTAAGTAGTCCCTAGAGAGGTTTTACATTTTCATATTCTCTCTGATACATGTTTAATCAATCCATGAATTTTTGTTTTTACTTACCTTTGTTCACAATGTTAATCCTACCTAAAATGTCTTATTCTATTTCCTGATACCTCCAGTGCCTAGCTGAGGATCCGTCCTCTTGTACAACATCCTCCCTTTTAAATCTACCCAAACTTCCCCAAGTCCCAGAGACATCTTCTCTCCTAAACTCCTACATTACATGGTAAAAATGAGTCTCATTTACCCTTAAGGTTATGGCACATTATACATTGCTATATTAGTTCATGCACTGTCTCCTCAATGCAATAAATGCAATAAATTGCAATAGTTAGGGACATTCTCATATATATTTTTGATTCCTCAGTGTATAACAATGCATTCTTCATGGACCTATGAAAACTGTTTAATGAATGTTTGTCATTGATAATAAAGTCATCAAAGAAGAAATTTGCCCTCAAGGGATGAAATGTTTATACCGAGGAGTTTTCATGACACTTAGCTTAATGAGAGCTTATAAAATTCTCAACCACACAATACATTTCATTTGGATTGGTTTGGTTTTTGGCCTATATTATTTTAAGGAAGTCAGTATTACCTTCAAGGGCCTGAATACTTGCCCAGTGACTGGTCTTTAGAGTAAAATTTACTAGAGTTTCTCCTCTGTATTCTTCTATGGAGAGGCAAATCATAGTCCAGCCATAACTTGGTTTATACATCAGTTAAGAAGCAAAGAGCTAAACAGAAGTCAGTGTGTTATCTGAAGAAAAATTCAACCTTAATGGTAGGTTTTCTCTTTATTGTCTTCCCTTTGCTATTTTTCCTCTTTTCTACTTCTTTTATCATCCTTTTCTTTATCCCTGCTTCACTTTTTCCCTCTCTCTGATCCTTTATTCACTTTATTTTGTATTTCACTTTATTATTCTCTTCCTGTTTTCAGAACTTAACCAGCAGTAACACTGGCTCTTTTAATCCTGTTCAAGTCTAGTTACCTATGCAATCAGATAAATTTATTACTGGAATAGGAGATGGTAATGTGAAAAGTAACAGAAGAAATGAAGAGATAGAAATAGGGACAAAGCACATTACACTGATTTATAGAAATAAAAAAACCCAGAAAAGACTGAGACAGAGTATTGTGGCAAAAAGCCAAACAACTGAAGAGCTACGATCATGATTATATCGCATTCCTTTTAGTATTTACCCTAGGCCTTAAGCTGGATTTCTGTTTTCAACATTTGTATGTCATCTTGCTTCTCTACTGCACTCACAGTCAGCTCCTTGAGGCAATGACATTTATATGATCATCAGTAAGGCTGAGTGTAAATATGACATTTCAGCTCTTATATACTGAGAAAAGAGAAAAATCAATGTTTTCACATGCACGTTCCTCTCTTTATCTCATTGCCATAAATGTAGCTAAATCAGAATATAAAGGTGTTTTATAAGATACTTTCAGATTTGTAGAAAATATTTATTTTCTCAGTGTGTACAAAGTGACAGCTTTTGCTAGAGCTTGTCTTTCATTAATCATTTCAAAGAAGTGCCCCATTACTATGCATAAATAGTATCAATTGCTAGTATTTAGACATTGTTACCTTCATATTTTACCATTAGCATCTTTACATAATTTTGTCTCAATATTTTTACCAGAGCAGAAGCAGATCAGGAGGCAACAATGGAAAACCGTACAACAGTGACAGTGTTTATCTTAGTAGGACTGACACAGGACCCAAAATTGAAGATTGTGCTATTCATCTTCCTTCTTCTCACCTACCTGCTAAGCATCTCAGGCAATTTGATTATCATTATCCTCACTTTGCTGGATCCTCATCTCAAGACCCCCATGTATTTCTTTCTTCGAAATTTCTCCTTCTTAGAAATGTCTTATACAACAGTCTCTATCCCCAAATTCCTTGTAACCATGGCAACTGGTGACAAGACCATTTCCTATAATTGTTGTGTAGCTCAGTTATTTTTTGCCTTCCTTCTTGGTGCATCTGAATTTTATCTCCTGGCTGCCATGTCCTATGATCGTTATGTTGCCATCTGTAAGCCCCTGCATTATACAACCATCATGAGCAGCAAAATCTGTATCCAGTTAGTTCTTAGCTCTTGGATCGCTGGTTTCCTTATCATCTTTCCAGGACTCATTTTAGGCTTAAGCCTGGATTTCTGTGACTCAAATATCATTGATCATTTCTTCTGTGACACGGCTCCGCTCTTGCAAATCTCCTGCACAGACACACATTTGCTGGAAACGTTGAGTTTCATCTTAGCTTCGGTGACTCTACTGGTCACTTTGGTATTAGTGATTCTATCATACACATATATTGCCCTGACAATTTCAAAAATTCCTTCTGCCAACCAGAAAAAAAAGGCTTTGTCTACTTGTTCTTCTCACATGATTGTCCTCTCACTCTCATATGGGAGCTGCATCTTTATGTACATTAAACCCTCGGTCAAACAGAGGCTATCCTTAAGTAAGGGAGTTGCAGTTCTCAATACCTCCTTTGCCCCACTTTTGAATCCCTTTATTTATACTCTAAGGAACCAGCAGGTGAAGCAAGCATTTAAGGACATGTTACAAAGAGTACTCTGTTTATCCAAGTAAAATCATAATGACATATATAAGGGAAATTAGTTATTAAGGAAAATTGAAAAGGAAGTGCTTAGATTTGGTCCCAATTTTCCTATTGCACTAATACATAATCATATTTATCCTTTCACTTCTTCTGAAGTATCACAATGTTTACATTAGCTGGTGTTTCTCAACAATGTCTTACCTTCCAAAATATCGAAACTGTATTTTCTGTTCCATTATAAGCATTCTCAAATTTGACTTCTTCCTCTCCTCTTCTTTCATTTAAATGTACCAAATATTTTAAAGGTTATTTTAATCAATTTTATGTATCAGTTCATGGAAACTTAATTATTTCCATATGTGAGCAGTATATTTTGTTCTTATATTTGATTTTCTGTAAAAATCTTAATTTAAAATAATTGTATGATGTGAGATCTTTGAAATTTTGTTTTTCCCTGGATTTTTATGTCCTGATACATATTCTGTATTGTTTTTAAATAAAGATATTTAAGAGTGGAATGTGTGGTTAAAAAAATCAATGTCGGGGCCGGCCGAGTGGCTCAGTTGGTTAAGAGCTCGCTCAAGAGTTTGAGCTCTGAGCAACAGCGGTTCGAGTCCAGCCCGAGCTGAGCAGCCGCTGAGCTGCCAACAGGTAGCAGGATGGCTCAGCTAAAAAAAAAAAAAAAAAAAATCAATGTCATTCTTTGTGTTTAGAATTTTTAAAAAAATCTCAACTATGCTTGTGTAATGTTAAATCATGTTATATTTATGCTATATTTTATTTTATGAGGTAAATATTGAATCACGTGTATACTAAATCTAGGTAATTTTGATTAAAAACAAAATGCAGCCTAGAGAGATCAGATTTGATACTTTACCAACGATTCCTTATTCACCTTGGAACTGTGTTCCTTAGATTCTACATCTATAACGTAATAATAACCATTTATTATATTTTGAGATTTTTTAAAGCTAATTTGAAAGTATAAAATAACTATTGGATGAAAAAGTAATATAATTATTAATTCATTTATATTATATATATTTAGCATATACTATTAGGAAACAACAAAATAGAACACATAAGTCCTTTTCTTTAGAAAGATATAATCTAGTTGTTTATAAAAAATAGTCGTTACAGAAACCAGGAAATTAAATCAGTTTATTTATTGTACCTAATACTAGTAATAAGAGTGTGATCAGAGGCAAGTAAAGTTTAGTATAAAAGGGCTTATGGTGAATATACAACACAATATATAGAAGATGTATTATAGAAATGTACACTTGAAACCTATATAATTTTACTAACCAATGTCACCCAAATAAATTCAGTAAATTTTTTTTAATTTGTAAGAACGCACAACAAAAGGCTTGTGAAAAAATTGAAGTTGTATCTTTTAAGACTATTTAAAACTCAGATGTGTATATGTAACTACCATTGTATAGGAAATACAGGGCATGTTAATTAGCACCATATTAAATGACACTATAAGGATTTAAACTATCCTATTTAGAATGTGACATATTCTGTATTCAAATAACCCAATTACTTCAACAAATCAAAAGCTTAGGAAAAAATGATGCTAGGGTACACTATTCCAGATTTTTTTTTAAAAGCCATATCCATCAAGTAAATTATGTAGACTTCAGATTGATACTAACTTAGCCAAATAAACTGCAAAATGACACTTTTTAAGGGTTTTGTTAATTTAAAGAATATGTACAGTATGATAATGTAATTGGAATTATGTTTTTAAATTCCTTACCTGTTAGAGTTAAATAGTGGATTATTTAGGGGTGAAATGATATGATATCTGTTGTTTGTTTTTAAATTGTGCTCCAAAAATATTACAGATAAACTAAATAAAAATAACATAATGTTTATAATAGTTGAAGCTGAATGATGGGTTCATGGGTATTCATTATACTATTCTCTCTGCAGTATATTTTTATATATTACATAATAAATATTTTATTATAAAAATTAGCTTAGAAAAAGTTAGAAGGTGTATGTCATGGTAAATGTTCTAATTTACATGATTTTCTTCAACTATCTTGTTATTTTCAGTTGACACATTTGATTAAAATACCTATGCCCTTTTCTTACATTTTCAAACATTATAGTAATAAAGAAGGCAGTCATTTTAGACTATCAGAAGAAAAAACCAAAATTGTATTAATTCTATGAAAAGTCTTGCCTATTTATGTAGTGTTTATTGAAACTAGTACTACAAAATTCTAAACCCTGGATACACCAATTTCTACAACTATTGCATTTGAGGCTAAGGAAAGTTACACAGGGATAGTAGTCACAGACACTTTTTATTTATGAATAAGACTCCCCTTCCAAATCCCTAATGATGGCCTACTATGGTGAGATAGGCTAGAAAAAATTATTTAATATTATTTGGGTTATTAATAAGAACTACTATTGATTGGGTACTAATTGGTGCCAGACATCATCCTAGGTGTCTATGTATACTATCCATATTTTCAATACAAACAAACCTATAATATAAATTATCCTGATTTTGTCTTGTAAAAAAGGTGATCTTCAAAGAGACAGTAAATTATCCAGAATCATGTATCCAGTTAGTAAGAGAGATAGAATTCAAATTCATTTCTGCTTGATTCCTATCCAGTACCAGCACTCCCCCAGTTTGCAGCAAAGAGTGGTTTAGTATGCCAAAACAGTAATGGCTTCAGTTTTTAGGCTGGGTGTGGAGGTGCAATAACATATTCTAAGGCTGTTTACATCTGGCTGGTATTAAAATTCACTATAGGCTTGTCATTTTACATGTGTGACATGTTATTTATAGACATCATGTACTTGGAGGATGCTTCATAAACTTTTACCACATGGCCTGGTATAGAGTCAAATTGCCTTGAAGTAGATAATTATTTCCATATGACCTATCTAATAAACGTTCTCTTGGCCCCACCCTCTACTTCACAGCCCTTGGTGACTTTCCAGGCTTTTCTTGTTTTCAGGTAGAAAGCAAGTCCTAGTAAGCAGAGAAAATAAAAAATAATAAAAATTATACTCTCTATATTCTTTGTCTATTAAACTTTTCTTTAATGGTTATGAGAATACCATCAACACAAAAATTTCTATAAATTTGGGCCAGAAAGGGATTAATTTTTTAAGACTCAATTTTTAGAAAAGTTTTAGGTTCACAAAATAATTGAGAGAAATATACAGAGATTCCCCATAGACCCCCCACCCCAGACCCCACCCATGCATAGCCTCTCCCATTTACAACATCGCTCAGCAGAGTGATACATTTGTTATAATTAATGAATCTACACAGACACATCATAATCACCCAAAGTCCACCGTTTACATCATGGTTCACTCATGGCAATGTACATTCTCTATATACTTTCTCTCTCCATATATATACATATCATACAGAGTGTTTTCAAAGGTCTAAAATGTCCTTTGTACCCTGCTTTATCACTTCATTACATAATTGTACTTTTACTAATTGTTCTTAAGCTTTATCTCCTAACCAAGTTCAAAAATTCTTTAGGCAGTTTTTTTACTGCCATATGTTAAGATATAAATATAGGGCCAGCTGAGTGGCTCAGTCAGTTAAGAGAACAAGCTCTGAGCAACAGAGTGGCAGGTTGGATTCCCACATGGGCCAGTGAGCTGTGCCCAAGCTGAGCTGCCCTGAATTGCTGACAGGCGGCCGGATGGCTCAGTGGTTAGAGCATGCACACTTAGCAACAAGGTTGGCGGTTCAACTCCGACATGGGATGGTGGGCTGTGCCCCCCGCAGCTAAGATTCAACAGGGCACCTTGAGCTGAGCAGCTGTGAGCTGCCAATGGGCAGCCGGATGGCGACTGGGCTTGGAGCTGAGCTAGCTGTGCCCTCCACAACTAAGGTTGAAGGACAACAACTTGTCTGTTCCCCTTCCCCAATTCCCCAATAAAATCATTTTTTAAAAAAGATATAAATATAAAGCAATGAAATATCAAGCACATGGATTGCTTTTTCTTCTTATGTCAGCTCCCATATATGCACTTGTTTGGGAGAACAACTCACCAAATCAATCTTCTCAATCATCTCTCTACACATAATGATGCTATTAATTTGGTTTTGGAATTTAAAGAAAAAATTAACTTGTAAATTGAGGATGAAAAAATTTTTTAAAGTCTCCATGAAGACCTGTGGCTCTATGACTTACATCAATTTTAATAAAACTATTTGAAGATAGTAATTATATTATATTATAATTTCCCTGCAAAAAGCCATGGATTATAACTCATACAGGATATGCAATAGGTGAATGACTTATAAACATTTTTTGCTTGCATCTTACAGGAAGAAATTAATTTTACATTTTAATCAGAACATGATACATGCATAACTAAACCATACCTGTTGCATGTGGGATCCACTCTATATTTTCTGTTATTCTAACAATAATACTATCAAATACAATCTGTTAGTGTTTACTGTGTATTAGATGCTCCCAGAATTTTTTCATATATTGCTTATTTTATTCCATTCTTTGTTTTATTATGCTAGTTTATTAAACACATACATACACTTGCACTACTAAATTGAGTTTACAATCTCACATCTACCCATGAGTCACATGTAGCTAGTAGAAAACCACTCCAATAAAGTCTTACCAGATGGCCACTGAACTTAGTAGCAATAATTTAAAAATATTTAAGTTAGGCTTAAGAAACAAAAAAGCCATTATAAGGGGAAAGAGTTAAAGGAACTGATATTTCTCACCCCAAACTTCCATTATACTGAATGGATACAAATCTCAGGGAATCATAATAAAATTAAAATAGTCATCACAAGTTACAAATTTGTGATTATTTTAAAATCCTCGTGAAAATTGATGCAGAATGATGGAGGTTGATTAGTGATTAAAGAAAAACCTGTACAATTAAAACAAACATTGCTAATGAAGACTTAGAGCAACAGATATTATTATATATATATATAAGTTGCATCTTCAAAGCCAGTGTATCCTATGCTAGTGAAAATAATATTTTCTAAAATTAAACTTGATTCAATCTCATTTTGTCTTCTCTGTTGTTTTAAGGCACGCTAAGGCCTTAAACACCAAATTCCCATGTACGTTGTGCTTTACAGTGATGAAAATATGACTGATATTTTTAAGAGGTTAACATACTAGATTTCAAAATCATGAGTCTGGATTCAAATTCTTGTGGCCACCTATCAATAACTCTTTGCCTTGTCAAGTTACTCAAAGTTTTAGATCCTAATTTGTCTTTTATGAAAAATAAATGTATAATAGGACCTATCTCTTGAGTTGTTGCAAAGACATTTTTTAAAGGCAGTTCCTTGGTAAGTCATGTTGGCTATTATTATCATTACTCTTTTGCTTTTACTATAGTGTCAAGCAAATGTTTGTTGTTTAAACTCTAAAAAGTAATAGCTGATTAATAAGAATTAATAGCTGATTTGGCCAATGATTAAAGAAGTCTAGAATCATGTTACTAAACATTAATGCTAAGGCAATTTTATTAAAAACTTCATTTAAACCAACAACAATATAAAGAATTTTCACCATGAATTCTTGGAAAATACAAATCTCCACCTTTCGATATACCAGGGGTGCCAAAAAAATGTATACACATGACTTGTATTCACCTTTTGTTATCAGTATATATTGAGTATTACAATTTTAATACAGTTTTTTCCTTTCTTAAAATGTGTGTACCTTTTTTGGCACTCTCTGTATCTTTTAAAAGTCACTTAAAGCACATTACCTGATTGATTTTTGCATCATATTAGCTGCAGAATATATAGTGGTTTGTGGTGCGTATTTTCATTTACCCTGCATAACTTTTTCCATCCTGATCTGTGCCCCAGAAGGCTAGCCTTTATATATTGCATTAACGGACATTCTTGCCTTCTGTCTCAGATTTGCTTTGATTAAGAACAGGCACCTGCAGTAGATTTAAGAGAGAGCAGAATAAGACTGGAATGACTGCCTTCCTCTACTAAAGGACAGAGTTCCTAGTGGGTGGCTTTTTCTTTTAGTTTTAGCATTCTCTAGGTTCCACTTAAAACTCTTTCTCTTTGCCCCTTCAGGTCAAGAGATATGGAATTTCCATCATATAAACTGTGTGACAATTATCTAACCCTGCCCTTCAAATTGTAAATAGTTCTATCATAAAGATTCTCTCAATTATCCCAGTTTGAGAGTACCATCTGTTTCTTGCTTGGTCTCTCGACAATGAGATCCACCCATCACAGTGACACTGACAAAATAAAAGCAAATCCCTCCCCCCTTTTAAACTTTTGTCTGTGAGTTCTACTGTCCTTACTTTGTTTAGAAACACACTACACAATAGAACTCAAAACACATCTAACTTCTGCAAGACTTTTCGAGTGAATGTCCTCTTGACTGCACCCTTTACTTCATTGTTCCTTATGCTGTAGATGATTGGGTTTAACATAGGAGTGATGACAGTGGAGGACAATGACACCAGCTTCTTGCTCTCAGGGGACTGGTTGGATTTAGGCAATAGGTAGGTCAACCTGGCTGTTCCACAGAAAAGGGACACCACAGTGAGGTGTGATGAACAAGTGGAGAATGCCTTCTGGCAACCAGTAGCAGAGAGCATCCTCGGGATGGTTGTGATAATGTGGGTGTAGGAGAGCAAAATGAGGGAAAAGGGAAACAATAAATACCAGGGGTGCCAAAAAAATGTATTCAAGTAGACCCTTTGGTCAATGTTGGTTGAGCAGTAGTTCTCCGTAATCAGAAGTGTCTGGTCGTTGATGGTAACCACTTTGAGCATCTCTTGCAATTGCAGAAGTCAAACGTGACTTGTATTCATCTTTTGTTATTGGTATATATTATTACAATTTTAATACAGTTTTCCTTTCTTAAAATGTGTATACATTTTTTGGCACTCTCTGTAGCAGTGTGGAAGCAAGTGCTTGCATTTCATACATGGTTGTATCCTGAGTGACTAGTTTCAACACTGGGAGACCATCACAAAACATGTGTCTACAGTACTTGGTCCACAGAAAGGAAGGGCCATCATCCAAGCCATCTGTAAAATAGAGACAGAAACATCAGACATCCAAGAGCCTATGGCCATCCATAAGCATAAAGGCCTATTTATTATGAATGAATAACGGAGAGGGTTACAGATAGCCACAAAGCGATCGTACGCCATCATAGAGAGGAGGAAACATTCGGAGCTGCCAAAGAAGCAGAAGTACATCTGGGTATGACAGCCTAAAGGTTTTTTTGGGGGATACTAGATCTACCAGCATCTTTGGTGCCATGACCAAGGTGAAACAGACTTCAAGAAGTGATAGGTTTAGGGCTGGCTGAGTGGCTCAATTGGTTAAGAGCTTGCTCAAGAGTTTGAGCTTTGAGCAACAGTGGTTTGATTCCCGGCCCAAGCTGAGCAGCCGCTGAGCTGCCAACAGGTGGCAGGATGGCTCAGCTTAAAAAAAAAAGTGATAGGTTTAGGAGAAAGAAATACATGGGTGTTTGAAGAACAGGATCCACACTGGTAATTGTGACAAGAAAATTGCCCAACAAAGTGACTGTGTAGATGACCAGGAACAAAATAAAGAGAGCAACTTACATCTCAGCATTGTTTGTAAAACCGAGAAGAATAAATTCAGTGACTCTGGTGTGATTTTCACAAATTATATCTTAGGCTAGTTTCTCTCTAAGAATCAAAGTATATACATCAAAGGATACTGTTAAAATATAATCTCAAAAATAGCAATAAAAATCCACAAATGCATCTGTTTTCGGTTGTCTTACCATTCTATTTTTCTGAAGCAGATAGAATGTTTACAATAAGATAAAATCAAGGGAAAAGAAATATTTTGCATGAATCCTACTAATTGCTTGTCACCTAGGTTCATACAAATTATCAAACATGTATCTAGTGAATGGTAAACACTAAAAATATTACCTATTATTATTAGCTATTTACTACTACTACTATTAGTAGTAGTAATAGTAGTAAGAATATCTTAATACTCTTGCAAGTCACGGATAAATTTAAGCTCTCACCAAAAAAAAAAAGTTTTAGAATGACATTATAGTAAGTCCTTATCTCTAATCAAACATTGTAAGTGCTAGAAGCACACGTCCTAATATGATATGTTTACAATTGTTCTACCCTGAGATACTCATAGTTTTTAAATTAATACTTTATTCAAAAATTAAAATACAAGTTACACTATTCTATTTCCAAAATGGGGAACAGGGAGCTTTGTTTTAAATGGCTCCTTCCCACCAGCTATTAAACAGGCTCATGGTTCCCCATCTTAAAAACATAATGAATAACAATAATAAATGATCTTGTTCTGTCCTTTCTTTTCCTCTAGGTATCACTAGCCTGCTTTCTCCTCCCCTTCATGGCCAAATTTCTTCAATACGTTGTTCCCACTAGTTTCCTTCATTTCTTTACTTTCATTTACTCATAAATAATTTCAATCTGGTGCATGCTCTTAACTCTCTTTCAAAATTGTTCTTTTCTGAGGTCATCAAATGGCCAATGTAGAGCTAAGGATTACCAGATAACTCAAAACTATTTGTTGTCAACTTCTCAGAAATGGTTGCACACTTAATTACTCCCTTCTTAAATACTCTTTTCTTGCCTTGGAAAATACCATGTTGCCACGATCCACTCACCCATCCCAAACTTTTGCTTGTTTGTGTTTTTTAAAGACCACTCACAAACTCATGTTATATGGAATTAAAGAAAGGTGTGAGAGGGCCGGCCGAGTGGCGCGATGGTTAAGAACTTGCTTGGGATGCCAGAGGGCCCCGGTTCAGATCCCACATATGAGGGCCAGTGACACTGTCCTCTACAGCTAAGATGCTGAACAACAGCTCAACCTGGAGCTGGGCTGCTGTGAGTCGCCGGCGACGGCGTAGGCTGCAGCCCCTGTGGCAGTGGGTTGTCATGGGCTACCATGTGTAGCCAGCAGCCAGCGTCAGCAGCCAGCAGCTGCAGTGAGCGGCCGTCCAGAAGCTGGCGACTGATCTGCGTCACCCGGGAAGAGCGTAATGATGGTGCCAACTTGGGCCAGTGAAGCAACATCCTCCACAACTAGACTGAAGAACAAAAGGACAGCAACTTGTCT